CCCTGCCCCTCACCACAGGCAGACCAGCTGGCCTCCTCCTTCACAGAGAAAATAGAAGCCATCAGATGGGAACTCCCTCAGCTTCCTGCCACCTCACCTATGCATGTACCTACATCAGCACTATTCTTCTCCCTTCCTCACGCCAGCTGGTTCTGGATCCCATCTCCTCCCACTTCCACAGGGACCTTACCCTCAATTATCCCTTTTCTTTGATCTCTCCCATTGTAAAAGAAAGAAAAGAAACCTATTGACTCCATGTGCTCCTTTAGCTGTCCCTCTCTGTCCCTCATTTTTGCCTCCCCTTCTCCTCGCTCTCCCACCCATGGCAGCCTGGCTCTGTCTCCACTACACCACTGAGATGGCTGCTCTTAAGACAAGGTCACCAGCGGTCTCCTTGGCAATATCCAAAGGCCCTCTCCATCCCTTATCTCATTCATTTGGCTGTACCAGATACTGCTGTTTGCAGCCTCCTCAAAATGTCCTTTACCCTTGGTTTCTGTGGCACCATATTGCTGGTTTCCCTGCTGTCTCTCTGGTGATTTCCTGCCAGACGCTTTTCTGGTTCCCTCCTCCTCTGCCTTTCCTTTCCATGTTAGCATTCCTCAGGGATCCCTCCTCGGTGCGATTCTTTCTCATTCCATGGGCTCTTTCCCTGGGCAATTCTATCCTCGCTGCACCTTTGATTTAATAAACATCTGCAGAGTCCCAAGTCTAACCCCACCCCATCTTGCTCTCCCAAACTACAGACCTGTAGAGCCACCTGCCTACTGGACATTTTTTGGAGCCTGCTGTTCTCTCTACACCCCTACTTCAGTCAATGGTACCACCAGTCCCTCAGCTCCTGACACAAAAAATTTGAGTGTCCTGGGTTCTCCAAGTTTGACCAGTCACCAAGTCCTGTATATGCCACTTCTTGAGTAACTCAAATTGAATCCATCTTCTTGTTTCCACATCTTTAATTCCTGCTGCAATAACCTCTCACCTGGATTTCCACAACAGCTTCCTAAGGAATCTGGATCTTACCACCATCAATTCTCCACCATTCCCTCCAACTAACTTTTCTGAAGTGTAACAGATCCTGTCATTCCCTTGTCTCAAGCCCTTTAATGATTCCCCATTGTCCTCTGGTTGAAGTTCAAATTCCTTAGCAAAGCCCATCAGGTCCTACTCTGTCTCACCTTTGCCCTTATACTCTGTGAGTCAACCATAACAAACCACCTGCAGCTCTATGAAAGCATGATGCCTTCTCATCCTTGGGCCTCTGCAGATTTGACTCCCTCCACCTAGAAAGTCCTTCCTTCCCACCCCACCTACTTGTTCTTCAGGTCTCAGCCTAAACATCATCCTCCAGGAGGCCTTCTCTGACCCCTTGCCCAGCTGGATTTGTTGTCTCTGGTATGGGATTTTATAGCACCTCATGCTTTCCCCTATCAGATGAGTTTTTACACTTAAGATTACTTTAGTCTCAAAACTTGAGGTTGATGATGGTGTCTTGTTTTACAGAATATCCTCAGATCTAGCAGATGCTAGACACACAGTAAGTGCTCAATAAGTGTCTGCTGAGATAATAAGACATTTGGAAAGGAACATCCCCTCTCTATCTGGTGGTAATAATTTGTTGTTGTTCCATTACCAGCACTAAACAGCTTATATTATGAAAATGAAATAGGCTAATTTGGGCAAACAACTCCTCCTAGGAAAACTGGACAGACTAGAGAAATGAAAGCATCTGCGAGGTGGAGACTAGCTCATGGATGCTGACACATGGCACTACCACCAGACTCATGTGCAGAAGCCCGTGAGAAGGGCAGGGAGCCACCAGTATCATTTGCCTTGGCTCGTCACATGGATGCCATCATGTGAGACATAGCTGCTTAGGAACACAGTTCCCATTTGTTCCACAGCTTCTACCTGTCAGTGTAGCATTATGAAAGGAGATCTGGGCTGAGATCCACATTGTAGACTTGGCTCTGCCCACTACCTATCTGAACTACCTCAGGCATTAGTACTTCACTACGGATTTTGTACTAGAAATAGCTAGTACACTTTCTGAAATAGGGTAGACACACAAATTCATACATCAGTCACTCAACAAAGACCTATTATACACCTAATGTGTGTTGGGTAGTGTTCTAAGCACTGAGGATAAAGACAAAGTCCCGACTTCCTGTCTGTACATGAGGAAGTGACCTAGATGATCTCTAATTTTAAGTCTAAAATTCTGAGACTCTTTGCCCAGATGCAAATAAATCTGTGCACGGAAGACTAGTGGCAACGCATCAGACTCCGGCCTCCTTCCCCCGTTCTCCTTTTCCCCTGGTGCCATCTCCATCCAAAACCCAAACTCAGCTCCAAGAAAACATGAAGATTTGGTATCATTTACACTCTGCCTACAACTCAAAATTTAACTCTCCCGTCTGTTATTTAAGACTTTTATCTTTTTTTTGTGGAATGAAAGGCTTTGTCTTGGTTGGAACTTCAGGCAATTACAAGAACACCTGGCAAGACATTTTAGGCAGAGTTAGGTGCTTCAGCAAAAGGACAGAGAGGCAGAGTGGTTTTCTCCTCTTGGTACCCTTAGGTTTTCCTGAAAGGGCGGCAGTTCCTTGGGCAGGTTCATTCTGATGGGTACCTCCTTGTCCTATCTCCTTTCCCTTACAGAGTAAAGGTCCTTAGCCTTTAGGGCCAAAGTTTCTACCACTTCAGTATCTGCTGCTCTGACTGAGAGCAGGGGATTCAAGGACTCCCAACCACGTGGGGAAGGGAAGCCACAAGCTGCAAGTAAATGGGTAGAGGTCCTCTGGTCAGGAACCTGATACAGTTCCAGACCACTGTCATTCTAGGTGAGCATCAGGTATGGGATGGCATTAACAAATAGCACTTTTAAGTATATCACTGTAAACTCTGCGCTATAATGCCCATGCTGGATAATTAAATGTGAAGTCAAAAAGTGAAATTTTCGTTTGACTACATAAAAGTAAATCCAGCTATTTAAGTTTACTATCTATGCCTCATTACCAAGAAACAAAACAGTTATATGGAATTGTGTCAGGCTGACATGAACAATTTTTTATTAACAGTGAACTCTGCCTTCAGTAGTATGTGATGAAAAAGAAGGCACAGAGACAAAGATTTGAAAGACCCAGCTCCTTTGCTTATTAACTGTAATGTTGGAATCTTACCTTCTCTGTGCTTATATCTTCAAATGCAAAATAATACTTGCCTCATTTATCTACAGGGTTGATGTGAGAATCGAGACAACACATGTGAAAATGCTTTGGAAGCTGCAGTGTTTTATGCACAGGCGGCGTTGTTAGCATGAGCTTTCTTAGGACGGCTGGCTGTGCAGTCCTGGTCACTGGCTGCCATCTGCCCTCTTGCCCTCCTCCTTGCTCACTTGGGTGTCCCAGAAGAATAGCTTTCTCCAAGCTTCTAACAACAATTTCCCCACACTGAATCTTAAGAGGATATACAGTAACTAACATATAATTGATTCTTGACTGTTCCTGAAAGAAGCAGCTGTTCTTTCATTGTGCTTGAGACCCCTTCTCACCAAGCCCTGGGAGGAAGAAGGGAGGGTAATGGCAAGGCTTATTTTCTCCAAGCAGTTAACTCATTTTACCATTAAATAAAAAGTTTTAGTATTTTTCATTGTACAAAGCACTGAGTTGGGTTTGGTGGGATGCAAAATGGTGCATCTAAAAGAATCTCAGCTTTGAAGTCTGGCAGACTTGAGTTCAAATCCAGACTAGGTCACTGACTTAGCTGTGCAGCCTTGGCAAGTAACACTTGCTCTGGGCTTCAAGTTCCTCTTCTGTATTAGGGGTATTACATATCTTGAAGCATTACTGAGAGGATTATACTTAATGCCTGTGAATGACTGGCAAACTAGTGCACAGGAGACGACAGATGGGCAGCAACATCCATCTCTGAGCACAAAGCATGGTAATAGCAGTTGTGGACCATGAGACATATGACCGACATAAAGGTACAGAGAGGAAGGTGCTGTCTTTAAAAGGTAGTGAGGGTCGTGTTCCTGGCAGGACTCAAGTAGCAGGTGAATGATAAATTCAAAAGGTGCTACAGACAGCATTTCTGTTCAACCCTAAGATCTCTTCAATTTCTATTTTTTTTTTTTTTTTGTCTTTTTCCGTGTCCGGCAACAGATCGCAACCCTCAGTGTTGCCCCCGTACCGGACCGGGACCGGCAACGGGATCGCAGCCCTCGGTGTTGCTCCCGCGCCTCGCTCAGCCAGTGAGCGGGAACCGGTCTGTATGTGGGATCCGAACCCTCGGCGGGAGCGCCGCCGCGCTTCCCAAGCAGTGCACTATAGCAGTGCGCCACCGGGCTGGCCCAGATCTCTTCAATTTCTAAGGTCAGATAAAGAAATGTCCAACTTAAAGAAAAAATTCTGTAATAAGTTCAAATAGTAAAGGATAAAGATGAGGTAGTACAGTGTCTGTGCAGCACAGCTAAACAAATAACATAAGAGAAAGATAGTGATTGCTTCTAAATTGTCACTGAAAATTCAATCTAAAGGTTTATTGTCTAGGTATTTTTAACTTTTCCCTTGGTAATCATCAAGATGATTGATGTTAAAAAGTACTGTTAGGAAACTCAGTTGCTTTCAAACATGGAACTTGTTTGTTTTGCTTGAGAAGTGTTAATATGGAAAAGGTAAGTGTGTGGGCTGTACTTCTTGTGCTCTGATTTGCTTTAGAGACAAGAATAGTGGGCTGAATTATTAAGCAACTGTGATCTATTCCAAGTTCTAAGATTATCTTCTGCTTGAGCTATGTGACCACGAGCAGGTATTTAACTTCACTGAGCTCAGACTCCTGACCAGCCGAATGAGGTCACCAACTCCCTATCAGGTCGTACATGTTAAACATTTTGAACTCCTGAGATTAAGGCCAATTGCTGTGGGATTATATTTATTTATAAGTAAGCAACTCTAAGCAGATCAAATGCAGGTTATTAATGAGGAGAAAAGCAAATGTTGTCTATGGCAAAATTTGCATATAATGTAGTAGATAATTCTGGAGCTGTACAGTGTGGACCATGGGGTCCCATGAGAGAGAACAAAGTACACCTCTTAGCCTTCCAGGTTTTCCTCTATCATGGCACAGAAACCTACTCAGATATTGATAAGACAGATTCACATACTTCTGTGAAGACAAATATCCCTGAAGTAAAGCAAACCCAACATTTACTAGGGAGAAATGGTTTTAGATTCCCGTTTTGTAAAAAGTAATTTGACCTTTTCTCCCTATCAAAATCCCTGAGACTTTTGACAGGATAAAGACACCAATTTGGAATTCTTTCAAAGGATTTATTTACTGCAGAATTGCTTAAGTCCACCAACGAGATGAACTCAGGATTTCTGTGATGAAAAGGATTTTGCTCACTGCTTTATTTTTACAAGTACTGCAATATTCAAAAAGCAATTCTTTTTGCTAGCATTTGGCATGTCTAGAGGAGGTTAGAAAAAGTTAGAATCTATAGAATTAAATGTCTAAAAAAAGGAACATTTTAAAATTCCTCGTTTGGATAGGTCCTGAGTTGAAATCACATTCATCTGCAAAAAGAACTGTTTTAGGTCAGAAATGACGTATTTTATAACTACAGATCCTGATCTTGGACTTGACAGGTGAAGATTTCCAGGCACTGTATGAATGACAGGATACATGCCACTCAGCTGGTCAACTGTGGCATGTGTTCTACCTGGCTTGTGAAAATTTTATAAATATCTTTTAAACCCAAACCTCCTGGTTCTCTGAAACCAACTGTCTTAATCTGATTCCCAGTACTTTTTTCAACAAACAAAAATTTTCCCTGCAAGATCACACATTTAAGTATTTGTTGCCTGTGGATAGATACACAGAATCCAAGTATGGATGTGAATGAACAAATCCGTGATGTGTCTATGAATCTCTGGATGGCTATGTAAGCTGTGACAAAGTCCCTTGCTGGCTCTGCACCTGCTGTGCACCAGAGGTGACCATCTGGGCAACATCAACCTGAAGAGGGTGTGAACCCCAGCAGCTGCTCAATGGGTTTAAAGCGCCACTCATCAGCCTCCAGCTCTTCTACCAAACCAGCTAGTTTTTCCATGCGAGCAACTTGTTGATCTGTAAAGAGTCAAAGAGGTAATATAATACAACAATGTACTTTCCATGAATCTGTCACCAACCACCAACATGAGGAGTAGTTTAAAAATAATTTCTAGATGGATTTTCCCCCCTCAATATTCAAGGAATGGGGTCTTATTCTATGTTGGTCAGAAGACTTAATCTTAAAAGAACAAAACAAAAACACCAAAATGCTCGCAATCACTGTCTATTTACCTTCATTGCTTTTGACTGCACAGTTTAAAGGTGAAAACTTCCAGATCAAAATAAACTTTTACTTAACCACTCTGAATATTTTCAAGTAAAAATGTATTTTTTTTTTCTCTTGTGGGTGTTAAGCCATCAAAGTGATATGCTTCCCCATCTCCCTTCTTCGATCACATCACTGTAGCCTCAGTGACCAGGTTTCTTTACAGAAGGCAACTACTGTGCTCTATTCTTTTTCTTTTTGAGTCTGAAAAGTTTCTCATAATGTTAAAAATAATTTGTAAGTAAAATTATCATATTTTCAATAGTTACTCTATTTAAAAAAAAAAAAAAGTACTCATCCTCATGCCACTGTGATTTGTGGACTAACATCTTAGGGTTACAGGCAATTGCAACTTTCTCCCCTACAGAATGTTTTCAATGGAGAAATGGTCTTGTGGAGGAACACAGTTCCCTGATGCATAAAGAAAGGCTTGGCAAGGCACGATGGGACAGAAAAGGTGCTACCAGGATCTCAGAGCCCAGGCTTCTGAGTCCAGATAGACCATGAGGTTTTACATAAATACCTGAAGTTGAAGATGATGATGGTAACCTATGGAGGACAACAGTAAAAGGAGGTCTCCAGAAAAAAAAGAGGAAAAAGCAACAAAAGGGAAGTAGGAAGCACTGGCTCCCCTAGAGAACCAACCCTTTTGACTTCAACTTTCAGCCTCAGTATGGACATTATGTCTGGATTAAGACCTTAAAATATTCTTTAATTTAGGAAGTCTACTTAAATAGCCTTGCTGAGTTTGGGGGTTTTAGTTATAGCACACTGACCTTTCAGAATCTTCCTCCCCACCCCCCACCCCAGCAAATTTATTCTCATAATCAACACTCACGTGCTTACCATGTTTCACCTGTTTAAGCGTGGATGCTACTTGATAGCTGAAAACAGATTCACAGAGGAATCTCTCAGAGCCATCTACAAACAAAAGAGGAGCGGTTTTAATCTGCTCTCAGCATTTTATGGCTTCTGATAAACCAAGTAAATATGCCTATTCTTTTCCCTGCTTTTACAGTCAGGGTCTAGTTTTCAGTGTTTCCAAAGAAGGCTTCTGTTTCATTTAGAACCAACCCTGCTCTATTATAACAGCTACTTCTTCCATACCTTGAATATTAAAATAGTCCCTCTACCTATTTAAGAGTTTAAAAATAGTTTTAAAAGAAGCAAAAACAAGAAACCTCAGTCTGATATCCTGGTCAACATTTCCCTCCTTCCAATCTGACAGTTCCTTAATGTTCTCCCATTCCGTAAGTCAAGCAAACACTGGCAGCTGACACATTTGGCTATGTGGCCCCTTGTTATCAAAATACAAAGGCACACCAAAACTCCAAATCATTTTCATTCTAAAAACAAGGCTGAGGGAAAAAATAGTCATTAATTTTTAATATATCAAATTACATCACTGTGACCATCACAAAACATTGCTGGGAAATTTCATTCTGTAAACGCAAATTGTAACCTTGATTTTCCAACTGAACCCAAACACTGCAATTTGGATGATAAGAGTATGGTACAAGTTCAGAACTTAACACTGTACTGGTGCCAAGATCGGCCGACAAGAAGGTGGCTAACCCAGTCACCACAGCACCTGGAAGATGACTGAGAAACATAAGCTAGTTCATGTCCTTCCTTGTCAGGCAAGGGCTGATACAGCAAAATATATCCCCAAAGATATACAGCTCATGTAGGAAAATTTGATTTTTAAAATGGCAGCAGAAACCATGGGGCATGTACCTTATTGCAAAAATTCTAAAACAAATGGAGAGAGGACACAGCTGTCTTTTTTTAGGCAGTAGTTCATGCCAGCACTACTAGGAGTCAGGAATTCACTCATTAATCATGGGTTGGAGTGTCGGCCAGGTATTAACTGACAAGGAGATAGGACTAACACATTCTGGCCTCATGCTAAGTTTCACACAAGGCAGACCTTATTTCAGAAGTCATGGTGTTGTGGGGTACAATCGTAATTTGTGGTAATGGGCATGCTGCCAGTATGGATCTGGCCTTTACAGCTTGGGCATGAGGGGTGACAATCAGCTTTGTATCCCATAAATAATCATAACCAATAAAAAATAAAAAAATTAAAAAAAGAAGAAATGAACATCTCATTATACTGCAAACTTATGAGCTATAATTAGACTTTTCTAAGCCATAGTACTCAGCATGTGCTAAATGCTTTCATGACACACTAAAAGAAATGCAATTCACACACACAAAAAGAAAAATTGCTACGTATATATTCTAAGCTCTGTGGTTTTCCATGTCACCCAGAAAATTTATAAGATAAATATTTGTACAACTTTGTAGGTTTGCTGCAAGCTTTAAATGTGATAATGTACAGAATGCACATTACCTGGCACATAGTAAGTTCTCAATATAAGTTTACTTCCATTTATTATGGGCTTTCCCTCCTCCCACCCCAACCAAATGCATTTAATATACAAAAGGCCAAGTCTGCTATTACTAAACTGCAAATTTTGGACCACAGATAAATTCAACATCTGTCATCTAATACCTGTTGGAGCTTTGGCAACATATTTGCTCTTTCTGGACAGATATCTTTATCTGTAAAATAAAAGAATTAGACTACAAAAAAAAAAAAAAAGAAGTCATAGTGTTGGAAAAATACAAAATTAATTCTTTCAGTAGCTAATTTTTTTTTTCCTTTTTGTCTCTTTTACTTACCGGTAACGGGATCGTGACCCTTGGTGTCGCGCCTGTACCGGGGACCAGCAACTGGATCGCAACCCTCAGTGTTGCGCCCGCACCACGCTCAACCAGTGAGCGGGAACCGGTCTCCACATGGGATCCGAACCCTTGGTGGGAGCGCCTCCGGACTCCCAAGCGGCGCACTCTCCAGTGCGCCACCGGGCCGGCCCTTCAGTAGCTAGTTTTGCCTTTAGAACAGAACCTGCTTATTGTATCAGCTTTACTGATAATCAACCGCTCTACTCCCGCTTTTGTAAATGTGCTTGCTTATCGCAATGACTGCTGTGCTGGCTACATGAATGCTGAGAGAACAAAACTTAAAAGAGCCTGGAAGAGTCTGCCTATATAAGCCCTGAAGGACCTAGACTTGGGGCTCAGATTTTGAAGTGCTAGCTCATCTGGGCCTGCTGGTGTGATAAAAGTACCTGACTCTCCAACCCTCTGAGTGCCAACCGCTTCTCTGTTGAAGTCCATTTCATAACAATGGTAACTAGGGCTGGCTGGTTAGCTCAGTTGGTTAAAGCACAGCCTTATAACCCCAAAGTCACAGGTTCAGATCCTCAAACCAGCCACCAAAAAAAAAAAAAAAAAAAAAAAAAAGAAGAAAAAGGAATGAAAGTAATATAATTCTTGGGATGTATACTCTTTAGGGAGAGTTTTACATTCTGTATACTCAAACCTCTTTTCTACATATTGTGCAATATATGGGGTATGATCCCATCCCCTCTAGCCACCCCTATTTCTCTGGATGAATGTAAGTCATTTGTGAGCAGATCATCTACACTGAACAAAAAAAATTTTCATTTTCAATAAACTGAATATTAGTTACCGACTGTCCAGTTTAAAGACATAGGCAGATTAATGACATTGCCATCTTATGAAAAGTTTTTTTCGTAAGAGCAAGGGGCAGCAAGTAACTATGAATTCCACTATGAGAAGAGAGACTGTTGTAAACATTTGATGCCAGTGATGCAATTTATTATAGCTCTTCTGTGTAAATGTATGCCAGTGTTTATTATCCTATTCATACCCTTGCTTACAGAGCCCAATTATAACTCAAATTTTATTTCAGAAAGAGTAAAGCATAGAAAATTAGAGCTTATCTCCCAGGTGGTTTGATCCTGAACTTTAGGATATCACACAAGGCAGTAGGAATTATGGACTGTAAGGATCAGGCCAAGATATAGAAGGGTACTTCAAATAGTTTGCAGAAAAGTGAAATTAAAAGATAATATGAATCTTTCCACAAACTTTTTGAAGACCCCTATTATATGGAAGCTCTTGGAAGTTATCTCCTGCTTACATTTAATCACAGGTGCTATTAGGATAGAATGCTTAAGTTATGACATCTGCATATTTTCCTTGGTAATGAACTTCAAAGAAAAACGATGTAAGCTAATCTTTTAAAAAGGCACCTACATATCACTCTGCCACACAGTATGTCTATGGAACACACTTCTACTGATCTGCAGCTCTATATTAACCACAAAGTCCATTGCTTTTTAGCCACATCCTATCAGATGTGATATCTATACCCATCTAAAGTCTGGCAATTTCTCCAGAGAGAAGTCAGCCTTAGGCAATCTGTCTTCCACTTAGAAATTGTAATCAAACCTCTGTGACATACCGAGTAGCAATACATCAGCTTTCCTCTTAAGGGATAAGCAAAGGTTATAAATAGTGAAAAGTTCAGTAACTGCTCAAATCTAACACCATAGCCAACTCCAATTTACAATGCTAACAAACTCATTTAAAAGAATATTACCTCACAGCAGGAATTTAACAATGCCAGATAATTTATACTTCAGTGGCCTACAATGTCACTAAAATAACAGCCACTCCGGGCTGGAAGGCAGTCTCTAATTTGCTCACTAATAACTGGGTGAGGACAATCTTAGCCAAGGGCAGGAGAATGCTGAAAACTACTGTATGCTGCTTATGTGAGGTGTTTGTTATCAGAGAGCAGATGCACCAAAAAGTTAATTCACAAGGTTAACCACAGGTTGTTTGGGTTTACTATCCTAGACCTAGGAGGATGTAACATCAAGTTGAACCTGTTAAGATTATAAACAGCATCCAACCTTGATTCCCGATTGCTTTTGTTCCTTACTCTCAATGGGCAGCCTTTCTTACTGTTTTCATATTCTATTAAGCTATTGTAAAAAAAAAAAAAAAAAAAAAAAAAAAGTCAGGTATATGTGTATTAGATTAATTGTATAATAGTATCACCTATAAACATGATTCCAAATCTATCTCACCATTACTAAATCACATTTAGAAGTATTCTTTTCACTTAAATATTCTTGATTTGATCAAGATAGTTGAGGGGTTGCTATCTCTACATTATTTTTCACTAATGTCTGTCTTAAAGTTTAAGCAGCTTTAAGATTACTGGTGAAACTTTAAACCTAAGAAACAGAATCAAAACTGTGCACTGTGAATTTAAACTTAATATAAACTCATCCTACAAGAGAAATCCAACACATTCCTACATGAAGCACACTGAGATGGAATAAAAATGGATAGATGGGTAACTTGTTAGAATATCACCACTGAGACTAATCTTAGAAAGCTTTCTTCAGTGTTTCCATGTTATCTAGTGTATACTGACAAAGAATGTTGATAGCTTTGAGACTATGCAGATACGTCCTGTATTAAATTCCTCCTTTAGGGCCGGCCCGGTGGCGCACTGCTACAGTGCACCGCTTGGGAGTTAAATCTTGTTCATATCTGCACTCATAATTAAATCTTATTGGAAGTCGTGGCCTCACCCTCCAGCCCTTCCATTCGGTTAAGTAGACACACCAAAGGGTTGAGAGAGCACAAACAAAGCCATGTGAAGAAATACTTAGTTAAGTTAAAATGAAGATAAAAGGAATGGAAGACCGATAACCACTTCTAGTGCTTGGTTGGAATGCATGTTTTTTCCGCACACTGTTCTGTGTAGCCTTCCTGCCAGCACTTTGGTGTGAGGACTATTGAAACCCAACTTCCCATATAGTTTCCAAACATGCTTAAATTTCACCGTAGGTCATAGTTCATCGTTAAAGAGATGTGTTGAAGGCCTAGATATACTACAACAGCAAAGTCTTAAAATTTTGCAAAAGTGAGGACATTGGTACCTATTTTAAGTCTCAAAATTTTGCAAAGCTTTAAAATTTTGCTAAAATGAGGGCATCAGTACCTATTATTAAGAAATTAATAATTGCCTTTTTGCATGATTTATAAGATATTAAAATTTAAAAATTCCTTAGTATGCTCCTAGTTCTGTAAGGTCTATGCTAGAAAGATAAGCCAAAAACTTGAAGAAAGGATAGCAGATGCATACCAAACATTGTGAGAAAAAATTTTCCAAGCTTCCTAAATTTTTGAAAATTATATGGAAAGGCAATTGGTCAGCTGTTTGTCCTATCCCTAACAATCTTGCAGCATTTATTTTCTGAGGAATCTCCTCTACTACCATTTTATGGTTCATTTTATGAAGATAATCAATAACTGTTAAGAATCCCCTTCGAGGGCTGGCCCTGCGGCTCACTCGGGAGAGTGTGGCGCTGGTAGCGCAGAGACCACGGGTTCGGATCCTATATAGGGATGGCTGGTGCTCTCACTGGCTGAGCGTGGTGCATACAACACCGTGCCAAGGGTTGCGATCCCCTTCCCGGTCAAAAAAAAAAAAAAAAAAAAAAAGAAGATTCCTGCACTGCACCCTTGACTAATTCAGAATCTCTATGATGGGCCCAGAAATGTGCATTTTAAATAAGCTCTTCAGATGATTTCTATGCTCCTGAGAATTATTAGTTTAGCTCCAAAAGTGATCTGAATCTGCATTCCAGTTACCAATGCTGTTTCATGCTTACAGCCTGTGCCTGATCTTGGCCAGCCAGTCTGCAAATGTGTGTGGAATAAGACAGTAGATGATTTGATGCAAATCTAGCTCTGCTGCTAGAAATACCACACAGCATTGTCCTGCAGTGGGCCAGGAGAATCATCTTCACATAAAAGGGTAGTATATTAGTTTTTTTCCTCTTAGAACCTTTTGGGTGAGGTTAATCTATCTGTAGATTTACTAGAAAAAAAATACATGAAACTTACTAACCATAAGGAGGCAGACAGGTGCCAGGATAAAGCAAACCAGAGCAGAAGGTGAACAGAATTCCTGGTTCCAATGCTTACTTTGCCTTTAACACGGTTAAATCACTTAACTTTTCTGGATCTAAATAATTCTAAGATGACCTCCTTGATTTCCAAAGTCTTTTTTAAGCTCCAAAATTCTGATTTTGAGGCAAGATTTTTTTTTTTTTTTCCCCTTTTTTTGTGACCGGCAACGGATCACAACCCTCAGTGTTGCGCCCATACCGGACCGGGACCGGCAACGGGATCGCAACCCTCGGTGTTGCTCCCGCATCTCGCTCAGCCAGTGAGTGGCCGGTCTGTATGTGGGATCCGAACCTTCGGCGGGAGCGCTGCCACGCTTCCCAAGCGGCGCACTGTAGCAGTGCGCCACCGGGCCGGCCCAAGGCAAGATTTGTTTTTAAGGATGTTATTTTGAGGACAAAAGATGATATGTGGAGCTGAAATCAGGGCAAACTGATCTCTAATCCAATTAATAGCTTCCTTTACAATTAATATTCATTGCAGGTCTGAATCCAATCATTCAGCAAAAAGCAGCATGAGATCACCTTCTAACATCTCTCCAGCTCCTTTGGGGTAGGTGAAAAGGGCTTTCCGTGGTGGGGCAAGGTCTGAGACACTGAAACCAGATCCAGTGACAGAACTTCCACTGACCCCACCAGCTGAGGATGATGATGAAGAGGCAGCCATTTTCTCTCCAGGAGAATTCTTACTTCACTACAAAGAAAAACAGCAATTGGCAAGTTTATGGAAGTGAGACTGACAACATTGCATTCTAGCTGCCATAAGGGCCAGCACACAGTTTTGTAAACAATTAGCTCCTCTTTTTTCTACCCTTTCTGCTCCCACAATCTTTTATTTATGTCTCAGACCAAAATGCCACTCAGGTTTTGAAGCGAAAACATGTTTAAGAATAGTTTGTCTACTTAAAACACTACTTTCTATCATTTTAGCAAATTGTTTATGTCGCTTAGGATTGACTATGGCTGATTTATGAGTTATGAACTGGTGATTTGACAGTGCCAAGGCAGAAATTTGACTGAGGCCACATCAAGAAATTCTCTTACAAAATTTTCCGAGTAAAATTCCAGAATAACACTGTGTTCTGTTCCCAAGGAAGGGAAATTGGTTAGGAAATACATATTGGCCTTTTCATCAAAAATTAACCTTTTCATCCAAATGTAATACCCAGATTTATCACTTGGTGGCGCCCCCAAACTGGAACAAAATAGCACAGGAAACTAGCTCTTGGAAGCCATGACCTATTACGAATAGAGAAGCTGTGTTTAATTCTGTCATACCAAAAAATCCAGATGTAAATGAGAAAATCTGTACTGAATATATGTCCCCTTATAAAAGTTCACAACAAAAACACTCCCTTTGCTACAGAAGCTTATACCACTTTAACAAAAGACTCTGAAAAGTGTATATCTTCTAAAAAAGAAATGGTCTAGCACTGTGCTGTCTAATAGAACTTTCTGCCATGATGGAAATGTTCTAAAGTTCTATTTCTGCACTCTTCAACATGGTAGCCTGTGGCCTCATGTTGTGGTTATAAATTAGTGTGACTGAAAACTGTATTTTCAATTTTATTTAATGTTACTTAAAATTTAAATAGCCACATGTGGCTAGTGGTTCCTGTACTGGATAGTGTGATTCCAGTATTCAGATTAAAAAATGATTTTACACTGAACTGTACACTCTAAAATGGCTAATGGTTAATTTTATGTTATGTGAATTTTAGTCCAATTAAAAAAAATACTTAAAAAGGATTTTTAAAGTGAATTTCCTTCTGTAACGGTTAGAGAGAATTTTAATTGAATATTTTTTCATTAGCTTTTTCTTTTCTGCTAGTTGCAAAATGAACACATTTATTTTAAAAAATTAAAGATTATTTTTTAAAAAAGAGAAAAAAAATGACAGAATGCTATACATATCAACTCTCTCTCTCCCTATATAGAATCCACTTTCCTAGTAGGGAAAATGATATACTGTGTCTGGCTGTTCTGTTTCCTTAATTTGTGATGCTCATTTAAGCCTGTCAGAGAAGGGCTTGGTTTCTGATTTCATTATATGTTTATAAGTAATACTGATTAAAGCTGAAGTGGGATATGGGAACAGTAAGGCAACTGCTATAATTAGACTGTCAGCCTATTAAAAATGCAAATTGATTAATGACATTTTCAGTCTTGCTATTAGATCACGTTTCCTTTTTTCTCTGAAGTCTGATAACTTCCCAAATTGTATTCATATCCACAGAGGCGAAAGCTTTTCAAGATAGATTCATATCCAATCCTTTTTGGACCACATTGAGTCAAAATATAGCTTAACAAGTTTTAAAATTCTCTTAAAGAACTTAAGCAGTAATAGGCCAGGTCCAAATCTCTAAGTGGATTCCTGGGGGGATTCGAATAAAGTATACAGGTAACATAGCCACCTTTTGGAGAGTAGCTCAGTCTTTATTTCCCATCAGTTCAGAGTAAAATCCAGTGTGACCTATTTATATAACTCACCTAAGATTTAAAACTCTTAATCTTTTTTTCCTACATCCTGATAAATACTGTATTCAGTTGTAAATGCTTTATACTTTAGCTAGCCCCAGTGTGACTTCTAAACTGAATATGATCAAAGGAATTCCCTTTCATCCAATTTTCTTCCAAACTCTCAGAACTACTATCATTCCATACAAAACCGCCAGGAAACACAGAATTAGCACAAAGCTAACTTTAAATAAGCAGCTTTCTGCTGAGGTGAAAAATACACCTGAGTAATTGCCAGCTCTAAAGATTTAGGTTAAATTCTGAATGCTATCAACAAGTGGTAAACAGGAGTGAAAGTGAAACTAACAACAAACCCTAGATGGTAACTGCTCTCTGAGGGCAGGCATCAACTGATTACCTGAACCAAACATAACACCTGGCCTACAGTAAGTAGCTGCTCATTTAAGTAAATGTTTGCTGAATTAATTAAACATTCCTTAAAGGTCATCTAATCCAACTTCCTCATTTTATAGATGACAAAATAAAACTCAGGCATAGAAACAATTTTAGCTTATCTGCTATGACATTTTTGAAGCAATGGCTTGTTGGCATGTCACGTGTCATGTGCCATGTTCAAGGCAAAACAGCATAGTGGTGAAGAATTCAAGAGTCTCAGCCTTTCTGCCTGCTTTTGCTATGTTCTTTGCTATGCTGCACAATTCTGGACAATCACTTAACCTTTCTGTTCCTCAGTTGTCCCATCTGTAAAACAGGAATAACAGTACCTACCTCATAGAGGTGTTACAAAAATTAAAGCTCTGGATGAGTTACAGGCTTAGTAAACACTTAATAAATCTTAGCTATCAAAAATCATTAATGGATATTTACTCCTGAATCTTTTTTTCATATGCAGATCCCAGTTTTTCGTACTTATGATGTCCCAACATACTTAGTCATGGGAAGTCTAATTTTCTCCATCTGCCATAGAGATCACAAGCTCCTACAGGGGAAAGGATCAGTTTAGGAAGACGAACCATGCCCTCCATTAATGCACTTCACACTTTCATTTTAAGGTTCATGATCTCAGAAAGAATTCTGAGATCTTGGGAAGGGGGAAGAACTGTCTTTCTACTCTCAAGGCCTAGCACAGAAACTGGATCACAGCGTTTCCTGGATAAATGAATGATGAACAAATGACAACGCTTCCCCCCCTTGGGCTAACAACTCAGCCAAGGTTATGCAAGGGATAGAGAAGTCTGGTGTCATGATGGCTGGCCCATCATGGTTTTCTTTTTCTTCCTCACTGTGCTGATCTATTTATACAACTCTATCTCCCACTAGGCTTCCAGGCCCAGGAGAGGTGCTCAGTAAAATTCTGAATAAGGGCCGGCCCCGTGGCTCACTCGGGAGAGTGCGGCGCTGGGAGCGCCGAGGCCGCGGGTTC